GGGGCCCACCGATGGAATCTCCATCGAGGAGAGGCCAACTGGTCACCCGAGTCGATCGGACGGCTCAAGCGGCTGCCGAGAGACAGGTAAGGACCAGTGGGATGTCCCATGCGGGTTATGTCGACTCCATCATGAATAATGGTCCCAGATTCCACTCGGGCATATCCGATAGGAGCTCCCCAAACCTGTCACTCGAGCCATCGAGGTAACTTAACCCCCGTTCTACTTTCCTAGTGCAAGATTATTCATTCATTCATTCTCATGCATGCATTCATACATTCATCCATTCTCATGCATGCATTCATACATTCATCCCATACATCCAAGCAATGCATATGCAATTGTTGCATCACAATGCTTCATGTCGCGTCACGAAGCGGTAGTCGTCTCATTCGATATGAGTGGCGACCGACCGGGGTTCGAAGGCCGACCCGTGAAGGGCTCGAGGCTACCTCACGTCAAACAGAGCCAGGGGAGAAAACACAGATGAGCCCCAGCGGCCTTCGTCCAATCCACTAAGAAACCGATAGGGTCATCTCGACCTTCTCGTTCGATCCTGATCTCGAGCCATGCCCACAGAATCTCCATCGAGTGGAGGCCAGCGGGCCACCTGAGTCGGTCTCCGGAACGGCTCAGGCATCTGCCGGGAGGCAGGTTAAGGAGCATTGGAATGCCACATGAGGGCTATGCCAACTCTGTTATGAATGACGGACCTGGATTCCCTCGAACATGCCCGTTAGTAAGCTCACCGAGCGCGTCACTCGAGCCATCAAGGCAAGCGACGTTAGCTCAACCCCTCCGGTTGCGGAAATCATGGATAGGGTAACGCATGAAACTCGACCGACCCCTACCAAGCCCAACGGGGCTTGGGGGCTCGGGCCACCGACCCTGACTCAGGACTCCAGCCAACCGCATAGGTTGCGGTCAGAACGGACACGGGCGAACACTCCGACCGGAAGAGACACAAGAGTCCACAACCCTAAAAAAGAATACCAAGGTGCTCAGCCTCCGACTGACTCCCCAGTCGGTCACAGGCTCGGGGCTACACCCACCGGGTGCGCTCGGGTGCACCCGGTGGAAAATGGATTACCAGCAAGTCTCGTCCTCAGGGGTTGGGTGCCTATGTCTGCACGGCGCGCCTTCACGGCCTTCGCTAGTCGCTTCCTCAGGGGCTGGGTGCCAATATCCCTGTGGTGCGCCTCCACGGCCTTTGCCAGTCTTCCTAACAGAGGTTGGGTGCTCGTATCCACTATGCGCGCCTCCATGGCCTTTGCTAGTCCTCCACATAGAGGCTAGGTGCCTAAATCCTACTCGGTTACCCTACGCGCTACAACAAACCAAGGGGGAAAATACCGAAGTTCCAATAACAGCCCCTTCATGACTTCACAGAAGTCCCAAAGGGGCTTAGGGGCTCCTGTCGGGTTCATAAACCCGAGGTCCCTAATAGACCCGCTTCCCTACAAAACTCAGCCCGACACGCGGCGCAATGACAGCACACGCCTGGGCCGGCCCAGATACATAATAACAGGCCAAGACCACGATCTAGTCCCCGACCGGCACCTCTGACCTCTAGGGGCAGGCCCCGCACTCTCCCTACCTCTGGGTCATGGGCTCCGCCTCGTCCGACCCCTTTCTCTGACCAAGGATACATCGGACCTCTGCTCGCTGCTCTTTTCTGACCGACACAGTCGGGGACGACTGGGAACGACCGACCGGGGACGCCCGCTTGGTGTGGGTCTGGGGAGCGGGCAGTGCAGATATGGTAAGGCGCTCAAGTCAAATGCAATACCAAGGACCGTACCATGCCATACTCTGCGCACCTGCAAGACGGTGCCTCCAGGTCACGACAGACGGATACTATACAACCTTCCAGACGCGTCAAACCACAAACAGTATTATGGGCGTCGACGTTTGCCGTACCAGGCGAACACGGTAGAGCCTGCCATACACGTCTGGGCATAACCAGTATTGTGGGCGCTGGCAGTCATCCCGTATCCGATGGCATGAGCAACAAGACTAGACAGCGCACGTATACACTTTCTATCTTTCTCTCTGACTTGTAAAGCCATCCCTTTCAACTATAAAAGGGGATGCACTCTCTCCTGAAAAACAACGCTGGCTCTCTCTCTCTCTCCAGACTCTCTCGACGACTCGAGAACAAAATAGGTCAACAAGCTTTGGAGATACACAGAGCATACGCTCCAATACTTAGCATACGTTAGGGCCCCCGTCACTCTCGGCCACTTGGTTCAGAGTCCGACCGGGCCTCTAACACCCCCTTCTCATTCCTTACTCGTTTGTAACCCCACAACGAACTTCGAGCACCTAGGCTTAGGAATAAAGTCGCCGACCGACCTCAACTGGACGTAGGGCCCGTTGCCTGAACCTGTATAAATCATGTGTCATCGAGTGTTAAGCCATATTCGATCACAACGCACGGCAAAACTACAAATATTTACTTGTCGGCCACATTTCGCACCGACAGAGAGAGATCCACATTCGAGTAAACTAAGCCATTAGCCTTAGCAACAGATTTGTCAAACTGAAACCTAGAACCACATCTGTGAGGGACACGTTTCACATGCTCTTATGCATTTGAGATATGATCTGTCCAATAAAAAAATACAAAGGTGTATATGCACATAAAGAAAACTTTTTTAGGTGTAGGCATTGACTGCCAGCGTCTTGCCAATGCTTGCAAAAGATTGCCGACGAAGGTGAGCGGTGATTTACCGAGGCAAAGATGATGCAATCATGCACACACGACACGATACATGCATGTACGCTGGGCGGCACCGTTGCACTGTGCGGCGTGGAGCGTGTGTGGGCCGCAGCGCTCTTTCACATTTTGGGCACAAACGGACGGCTGAAATGATAGCACGCTAGCTAGGAGCGTGCATTTTGGCCCCATGCACCCCAAGATAAACACTGCCACTGAAGGGCACATCCATTTCGGTCATCACACGTCGGCTTCAGTAATTGCCAGCACACAGCCTACTCAGCGCCAAGAGACCTACCTTTGGTCTCTGTGCTCATCAAGCTATCAAACGGGCAAAGTTGTTGCACACTTACTAGGACGGTTTTCGAACGCGCGGGATTTTATACATCGTGGTTTATTTTTTATTTTTTACGACAGTCAGTACAAAAATTCTCCTACGTGTTCGGCCTTGAGTTTTGGATAGGAGTTTTTTATCAATTCGTCATCTGTACCATTCATTTTCCTTTTGTACTGTATGATCAATGTGATTTTTTTTGGAAAGGATGGTAAAAACTTTGCTGCGATTTCTATTTGACGAAGAAAGAAAAAAGGCAATTGTCCACCTAGTTTTTTGAGTGAAAACTGGACCCAAAAACCATACAACTGAGTAGGGTGCATCACTCATCCTACACCACTTTGTCACAACGCCACTACTTGCTCCAACTTGGACGAATCGACTCAACTACCAACTCAACAAACAACTAAACAAGGACTAAAGAAAAACGACGACCTGCCGAGTGACACCAAAGAGCACAACCATGGCAAGACGACAAAAAGGAACAACCGTGGAACTGGAAAGCCTAGCAATGCTTCCAAGGAGGAAACGACACTAAAAGCGCCGACAAGGTAGCCCGCCAAGGGAAGGTTTTCGCCTGCATCATCCAGTATAGTGGGAGGAGAGGTAGGAAAGGACACCTCCAAGGAGGGAACGATGTCCGCAAACGTCACTGTCCAAGCTTTCGCCTCGACCTCAAGCAACCTCCACACTGTCATCGCCGGAGACCCAAACCTACCAGGAAGGCAGGATGCGGTGATGGATCAGCAGCAGCCTCGCACTTCTGCCGCCCCTAGGGACACTGGTCAGGAGAAGTGCCAGGAGAAGCCCGTCGGAGAGTCCCCCCCACCGGAACTGGCAAAGCCAACCAGCAACAAGCAGATCCAATCAGCTCCGCCATGGAACCCGTCTGAGCAAGGAGGAAGGCAGATGACGGGGAGAAGAGGGCCGGGATCAGAAGAAGCCCCAGTCGCCCAGCCCTCCAACGTCTCACCCCCTACCGAGTGGCACCGCATCAACCATGCCACACAAGGCCTCCAGAAGCCTTCGCATCGAACTGCAACCGTCTTACGCCTCTGTACCGGTCCCACGACAACTCCACCGTCGACGAGCTCCACCGGAGAATATCCGGCCCAGAGACCACCCAATCCAGCATAAGAGGCAGCGGGTATACGGCCCTGGCCTGGCACCGCTAGCCACGCCACCATGGCACCGCGGGCGTGCCACCGCCCGTCCGTCGCCAACCAGCACCACCATGGCACCGCTGGAGCATGCCAAGCCAAGCCACAGCCAGCCACGCCACCACGGCATCGCGGACGAAAGCCACACCACCACTGCCTCCATGTGTGCAGTGCTCAAGAACTGGGCGGCCAGAGCACGCCACTAGCTTGTCGCCGCACCACCACGCCGCCGCAGTCATCATCCACCACCATGCCACGATCTGGCCGAGGGGACGCCAGATCTGCGCATAGGGGGTCAGAAACCCGTTGCCGGCCGCCGCCCCATGGAGCACCATGGGAGCTCCTCAGGGATAGAGAGAAGGGAGGAGGAGAGGGGAGGAGCAGGCCCAGTCACTGCCATCCTTGCCCTTGGCCAGGCAGCCCGCGCTAGGCTCCGACTACGACTAGGGATGGCTGCCTGTAGAAGGGGCTGGGGTCGGAATCAACGTTGCCGCTCCTGTGTTCTCAGTTGGATTATTGCTGCTGATATGAGGAATTTGATCAATGTGATTTTAGAAAAGCCAATAACTCATCATGACTAGAAGATGGGGATCTCCTGTTGATAAGCAATACAAGGCAAGCTTCTTTGTCCCTCCATGCGCTGTCCTGTGTCTCTCTCAATCTCCCCAAGTCTAGTCCTACAACACTACACTCCCTCGCATAGCAGCCAGTAGTATACTCGCCTCAAAACAAACTCAAGAGCGCAACGACAGCGAGGAGGGAGCAGCAAGCCAGCAAAGCAAGCGCCATGGCAGTGTCCAACGGTGAGGGTGGCCACGACTGGTTCGACGTGATCGTGGTGGGCGTGGGCATCATGGGCAACTGCGCGGCGTACGCGGCGTCCTCCCGCGGTGCGCACGTGCTATTCCTAGAGTGGTTCGACCTGCTCCACCATCGGGGCTCCTCGCACGGCGAGTCCCGCACCATCTACGCCACCTACCCGCAGGCGCACTACCCACCCATGGTACGCCTATCGTGGCGCCTCTAGGATGAGGCCCAGGCCAATGCCAGGTACGCCATGCTCACGCCCACCCCACACCTAGACCTAGGCCAGCGGGATGACCCGGCGCTCGTCGCCGCCATCAGGAACGGCGGTGCCACTAAGGTCGCCCTCGCCACCATAGCCGGCGGGGATGAGGCGTCGGCGGCGTCCTGGCCATGGGTGAGCGTGTTCAAGGTCCCCGACGAGTAGACGGTGGCGTCGATCGAGCTAGGCAGGGTCATGAAGGCCACCAAGGCGGTCTCCATGTTCTAGGCGCTCGCCGTCAAGAGGGGCACCATCCTCAGGGACAAGACTGAGGTGGTGAATATAATAGAACCGTCCAATTTATAAGAGCATAAGTACAATAGCAATCACCAAAACGATCAAACTATCATACTTGAGCCCATATAAACCCGATAGTCCAATGAAATCATGATGGATCTTAAACTAACCAACATACAAGCCAAGATCGTACATGATTCAACATAACAAGTCACATGTTACATTATAGTTCATAAATGGTTCACAAGTATCTCACATACATCAGAGTTCGCATAGTTATTACAAACCAAGTTCAAATAGCGGAAGCAAAGTAGTTTGACATCAACATCACACTTAGTTCAAATACATGCCAGTACCACGGTCATTTCCAGCAAAAGTATAATAGAGAGGATAACTTAGGAGTGCCATGCCCTATGGTTTAGTCCTCATCCATGACAGGATGAAGGCAGTTCTTACAGTACCCATGATACATCATATCATCTGCAACAAGAGGGAATAAACCCTGAGTATGAGAATGTACTTAGCTAGACTTACCCATTGTAAACCATAAATAATATGACACCAAGGAGTATGTAAGGCTTTATCGGTGGAGTTAGCTTGACAATATTTTGCATAAAAGTTTAAGTAATATAACTTGGAGATTTAATATCTTTAGCATCAAATTGAATACATATTCAATTAAGCATCTCTAGATTAGCACCTGTACTAGAGCAATCACGTGATTAAGCTAATAAGCATTAGTAACCATATCCGGTGTATTAATTTGAGCATCATCATAACCATCAAATTCCATCAATTAATGCTACGTTGTCGCTGCTCAGTCAAGTTCTCACTATCTGGGAGAGACGGTGACTCGAATCGATTCCAACCAGCTGGGCAGTTATTCCTAACACAAACACATACTTCCCCCGTCGAGGTCACGTCGGGTCACCTTTGATACAACTCCGGTACAGTCGCGGGTCCGATCAGCGTCGCACCCTAAGGGATACTACCAGTCTGCCAGGAAGTTCAGGCCCGGCCTGCCCTTGGACTCATGCCACTGGCTCTCCACACACCCTTACTTTCTCCAGTGTGCGCACTTTCACTTACCGGGTCTCGGCCTGAGTTGAGCTACTCGGCTTCGCGGTTGGAACGGCTTATCTAGCCAACTAAGTGCTAGACATACGTTTAACATGACATGAGGACGTACAGCGAATCAATCCTTAATCGACACAGACGAGGATAAATAGGCACCAAGACCTCTATGCCTTGTTGCTTCTCTATCACAATCCCATCCGGTCTCCTTTTATTCATATGACCCAAAAGTCAAATGTATAAATTTTATGCCATTTAGATAAGTATAGCCATCTCTACAAAAATGACAAACTAGCAAGGATTATTTTAGCAAAAATAGTAAAGCCTAGTGAAAAGTGTCAAACAATATATTTCATATTTTTTACTTTCATCCTAGCATCATAACACTGTAAAAAAATTTGCATGATCATAAGTTATGTATTTTTACCTCATTTATTTTCACTAGAAACTAGCAATTAATCAAGGTTAAATAGGAAGACCATATTCCAAATATACCAACTATAGGTTTAGCATTTTTCTAGCTAGATCATGTCAACACAGGACCAGTAAAATTGGAATCATAATTTTTGCACTTCCCTAGCTCAAGATATGCATTTTAAAAGATAGAAACAAATTTAAAAGCACTTATCTAGCTTAATTTAATTCCTCTAGAAAAATATCCCAAACAGTATGTTTCATATTTTTATCCAATAGTACACTTCATGAACAATCCAACAAAAATTGGTTCACTCAATTTGGACACTCCTAGAATTAGTTATGAATTTTACAAGTTTGCTACAAAATCTGAAAAAGCATTTAAAGAAAAACATCAAAAACCCTGTTAAATGCTAAGTGCACCCAGAGGCGCTGACAGCTGGGTCCCACGGTTAGAGTGACCCCACCCATCATAGGCACAGAGCAGAGGCAACGCTTTGACCGACGAAAGCTCACCGACGACGAGGTCTCCGGCGGCGGGGTTGGCACCAACGTGCTCCCCTCGATCTTGCGCATTGACTAGGCTAGGTAGTTGAGCCTAATACGGCGGCTGGGCATGGCGGCAGCTCTCATGTCGGCTTGGTGGCGCAGCACAATGACGCTTCGGCCATCACTGGCCATGGCAAGCTCGGACGAGCTCGGCTACGGCTTTAGGGTGACCTAGCGGAGATCTAGGGTTAGGATTAAGGCTCACGGTGACGCCGATGAGGCATGGTGGTGTGGCACGGCATTAAGCCTCCGGCATGGCCAGCATTGGCCAAAGGCCAACGGCTACCGCTAGCACTAACCATAGTGACTACGGAACAGGGGAGAGAGAGAGCGGTGCAGGTGTGAGACGGCTCGACCACGGCGAGCTCAAGCTCGGCGGCGACAATGGTGGCCGTGGCGATGAAGCATCGGCTCTAAGGTGCTCACCTAGGCTCGAGAAGATAGAGTGGGTCACGGCCGAGCTGTGGGCGTAAGGAATTGAGCGGTGATGCGGCGCGGGTGGCGAGCTTGGCCGGCGAAAGCTCGATGGCGGCGTTGCGCGGTCACCTCCGCTTCAGCGCTGCGTGGGAGCGAGAGAGGGACGAGAGAGAGTGAGAGTGAGCGTGAGAGAGAGAGCGAGACCGCGCTGCCTTCAGCGCTACCCCGACCGTGGCGTGGGCCCGGCTCCGGCGTACGGCAGCCACGCGGCGGCCACGGCCTGTGGCCGGTCGGCCACGACGCCGGCCGATTCAGAGCTGCATCGGGTGACTAACAGCGCGACTTCGTGGACATGTAAATCCTAATCCGTGGTGAATCAGTGAAAATGGTATTAGTAAAAGTTGTAGAGCTATGTGAGATTTACGTTACAAAGCTCCAAAGTGGTGCACTTGAAACTAAAATCAGCATTTTGGATAGCAAAATTTCTAAGTCTAGAAACAACATTTTTGTTGATTTTTATGAGCCCTATTTGACTATGTTAGGCACTGAATTAGCTCATGACCCTTAAATAAAGTTTGTTACACATAAGATAAGCTACAACTTTTATTAATGGTGCACTGCTATGCAAATACTCTATGTTATAGTTCAACTTTAGTCAAAGTAGGATCATGAAAAATGATATTTTGAGTAAATTAGGACTTAGAAGCAAAATTGACCCATGTCGTGAATACAAACATTGTTCCATTTACCATCCTAGACATGTCTAAGATGTTTTTGTGACCTCACAACCATTTATTGCATTGGTCACACATGATCGCAAGCATATGCATGTATATAATCAACATCACATGTGATAATATATAAAGAATAAAATGAAATTACATATGCTCATGCACATGAATGCTTGATGATACTTGTGCTCATAAAATACAAGTGTCAAATGCAATGCTTAACACTGGTGTTACAGTAAACGTCACCAAGCGAGGTGAAGGTGAGCGCGCTTTGTCTCGTGCACTGTCTTCTTCCTCCACCGTACCCAAACTAATTCTCTTGGAAGCATGCGCCATGCGCGCGCCTCCTGCTGTCCTGCATGTGAGTGACCGTGACGCTCTGACGAGTCACTGGCAAGTGACAAGCAAGCAAGATCGAGTTGGGTGTGACTTGTGAGCTCGATCTGCCTATAGGCTCACACGTTCCTTTGCTGTCACGGATGGCTCTGGCATGCATTTCGCGTCTAACCCATTAATCATCTGCGTAGCGTGGAGCATATATATTGAGTTTAGTCAAGACTCATCGAGAGCTAGCATAGTTGCAAGTAGCATGCGCAATGTAAAATAGCAAGTCGATCGATGCGAAGGATTTGGACGAGGGGTGTTTCGGGTGCATTTATATATAAAAAAATGTCTTATATAAGCTTGTATTTTGCAAATTCATTTGGAACCTTAACTAGAAGTTTCAAAAATTTTGAAAATTTTACGTGTGCTCATCATGATTCATGATCTATAAGCATGCGCACATTGACGTCAATACGCTCCGTAGCAATGTTGGTCTACCACCAAGCAACTCCGTTCTCTTTTTACATCATTTTATTAAGAGTAAAGACTAAAGAGTAAATAACATCACTGACAAAAGTTGTAGCTAGAACATATACGTCGTATATCACAAAAATTGTACCATCATCACTTGCAAAAGGCAATTTAAACATGTTGTTGCGCCTTTCTCTTTCCTTTTTAATTTGAAATTGTACATGATTGCCAATTATTGTAACAGATATTCCCGTTCAGTGCACTCCTTTTGTTTTTTATAGTATCATTTGTGGAGCCTGTGCCAATACAACACCAACCGACAGTCCAACAAACAAGTCCTTCAATCCTAGTCCTATTGTTTGCACGGCACAATAATTCAGTTTATCTTTTCTCTCTGCTTTATACATGTAAAAAAACGGATATATACGAAGTGATGAAAAAAAAACCATGGACTAACTAGAGCTCTGAATCTTTACATACTTCTCATCATGCTCGATCAGGAGAGGGGTCAGTAATCTCGGTGAGGACGTCTAGGCCCTTATCGGATGGTACGGTTCTGAAGGAATTTGGATGGTGGTTTAGAGGAATTTAGGAGGAATCTACTAGAGAAAAATATTGTTTCGGATGAAAAAAGAAGCGGATCAAATCGGTTTTAAAGGCACGTGAACAGGTCCCTAGCGGCGATGAGTTCCATGTCACCAGATGCATAGTGACAGTGGGCGCTTGGACGAGCAAGCTGATCAAGTCGGTGACCGGGCTGGAACTGCCGGTGCAGCCGGTGCACACGCTCATCTGCTACTGGAAGGTGAAGCCCGGGCACGAGGAGGAGCTGACCCCGGAGACCGGCTTCCCGACGTTCGCTAGCTACGGCGACCCCTACATCTACGGCACCCCGTCGATGGAGTTTCCGGGGCTGATCAAGATCGCCATGCACGGCGGGCCGCCCTGCGACCCGGACGGCAGGGACTGGTCCACGGGCGCGGCCGGCGCCGGCGGGCTGGTGGAACCCGTGGTGCGGTGGATCGACGCCGTCATGCCGGGCCACGTCGACACCGCCGGCGGGCCGGTCATCCGGCAGTGCTGCATGTACTCCGTCACCCCCGACGACGACTACGTGGTCGACTTCCTCGGCGGGGAGTTCGGCAAGGACGTCGTCGTCGGCGCCGGGTTCTCTGGCCATGGCTTCAAGATGGGCCCGGCCGTCTGGAGGATCCTGACCGAGATGGCCATGGACGGGGAGGCCAGGACGGCGGCCGAGGCCGGAGTAGATCTCCGCCCCTTAAGGATCGGCCGGTTTGCGGAAAATCCCAAGGGAAACCTGTAGAATTATTCATTCTGGCGATCAAGGCTGGATCGGAGACGGGGCTCTATTTCATGTTTTCATGTCAAAGTGTTTTCTTGGCAACTCGTTTGTTTAAATTTAGTGTCTTTTGGGCTGTTGGATTGGATTTTCGAACATTGAAGTGCGCGCATCTCCTCACAGCTGGTTCGTATTGTTGCTGGTTCGTTTCTGTAAGAAAGAAATATTGTTGACTGTTTTATATGAATAGTATCGACGTGAGGGGCTGGCCCAGTCAGCCAGCCAACCCCGCCGATCGGGAAAGTTTGCAGTAGTCTTTCGGACGAATGTTTCAGTGTGCATAAAGTGTTCTGCGGACTGCAGTAATTAACTGGTCTGATAGCAAATCAAGTTCGTTATTGTGCAGATTCTTTTTTTTTCTTTCTGTCTTTCACTTTGGTTCACATCGTCTTATTAGCGCAATCACTTGGCGTAGGGACCTGCCCCTCAGCCATTTGCCCGATACAGACGGTACTTTGCAAAGACAGTGAAGGAATGTGCTCGAATTCCGGTACCTAAAAAAAACACGTCTTTCTGAATCGTGACCAATGAAAAACAGAACAGGAGTCAATTGTATTGATCAATGACTTGGTGAAGAGATGGGTCTTTATTCTACTATTCGGTTGATGATGGAACGTCTGGTTGGTCGGCTGTTTAGTTCTAAAAAAAATTGTGCAGTGCTCGTCACATCGAATCTTGCGACACATGTATGGAGTACTAAATATAGACAAAAAAAACTAATTGCACAGTTGGGTGAGAAATCGCGAGACGAAACTTTCAAACCTAATTAGTTCATAATTAGACACTAATTGCCAAATACAAACAAAAGTGCTACAATAGCCAAAACCTAAAAAATTTTGCATCTAAACGTGCTCTTAGCCATAAGCAGGTCCTCATGCCAGACCATTTGAGGTAATTTTTTACAATTTGACATTTTTTTAAGAAAATTTACGTTTAGCCCTATGAGAAATTTAAACTCATGTTTGGACCCTGTGAGTCGACGCCAAGACTCATGGCACTAAGGTAACACGTCTCGACGTCACATATCGTAAGGCCAAAATCCCTGGCCGAGAACCTAGCTGGCGTTGATACCTCGGCGCCACGTCGACGTGATAGATCTTGCCGCCGACCTCGGACACGCCGATGACCGGCAGACAGGGCGGCCGGCCGCGTGGCTGGCTGAGCAGTGCATCTGCCTGTCTTCCTCCACTCCTCTCTCTCTCTCTCTCCCATACATCTCCGTGGCCGCATGCATCGCATTAACTCCTGCCAGGGACAGTGGAGTGGAGGCCGTGATCGATGACGAGTGGCCTGTTCGCGTCATCGCGTGGGCTGCTCTCCTTTACGTGCTGGACAGTGGAGTGGAGTGGAGTGGAGTGGAGGGCGTGATCGATTTGATTGCGCGGCTGACCGGCTGAACCAGTACCACCTCGAAGACCGGATTTTTAGGCAACCCCACTTCGCGTGTGCAGCCGGCCAGCCCGCAGCTGCCTAGTGCCTACAGGAACGGGAAGAGACAGATATGCATGGCAGGCGCCCCGTGATCACACAGGGGCCGAGGTGAGAGGATGTGGCCCGAGCCAGCAGCCGCATGCTGTGTTGTGCTGCCCTGCCTACGGCATAGGCGCCTAGCTGAGCCATCTACTTGGTCTGTGGCGCTGCGCGCCTGGAAGAGCGGTACTGCAGCTAGACGCCGATGCATGGGCTAGGCCGGAGTTGACTACACTCTGGCGCTGTCGTCCCGTCCGTCGATGCCAGCAGCGTGCCTCTGGGCTCTGACCTCTGAGGACGGAGATGACTCTGAGGACACCTCGCCTGAATACGTGCCTCCGACCTCAGCGCCAAGATCGGCCACCTCAACACCGCCTAGGATGCACTACTATGCATGACCAGACATCTCGACACCAAGATATGTGGCGCCGAGAAGTGTTACCTCAGCGCCATGAGTCCTGACACCGACCCTAGGGTTCAAAGATGAGTTCAAGTCTCCCAGAGGCCAAACGTAAATTTTCTTTAAAAAATGACCAAATTGTAAAAAATTAGGACCCGTGCAAAAAAATATGGCAATGTAGCCAACACACAGCAAATCGGACGATCTGAGCGAGGTCAACTTGTAGATCTTGTTTGGCTTCAACACAAGACCAGTCGATCATAAAAATCCCGAAGGCGTGCCAGTCAATTTGACCTACAATTGACAAGAAGAGAAAGTTTATCAGTAATTTATGGTGGAACATGGCGGTGTTGCCCCGACAGTTCCAAGTATGCTGCTTCGAGAGCAGCCAAACAGGAGGATCGACTAGATAGCCGATATAAGGAGAAATCGACTCTGAAGGGCTGTGATGCTCGCGGGTCATGATTGATTTATGATAGCAAGTACGATGCACCCAGATATAAATAATATGAAGAAACTTCATCAGCTAGATGGATATAACCAGTGTAAAGCATTGAGCCGATAAGTCTAACGAAAAATTATATAACATGCGAACAAATTGACTGTTTAGTACAAATGGATCTACAAACGCTTTGAATCTAATCTGTTACCATCGACATTGAGGTTCGATCAAATCCGATACAGCTATGATAATAGTAACAAACTAAAGCCAAAGAATCTACAAAACCATCTATATATTGGCAGATTCATGAAAAACATGCAGTATGTGTGAAAAGACAGATAAATCGGCTAAAATAGCCGATACAGGCATAGTAAACAAACATAGTACATATCTCGGTCATGAATAAAACCACTAATCGATAATTTCTAACCCAAAGTCTTATCAGTGAGTGTCGACCGGATCGATGCAGCTATGGTAGTGTCATTAGATTAGATCTTATTAACTAGTGAGTTTATTCAAGATTGAAATATGTCCTTAAATACATACTATGTCTGACTGGAATAGAGATAGAACAGCCGATCTAGCAGAATTAAGCCATCAATTATAAGATTTGAAGCATGACCAGATCAGAAGACGACCAATTAAGATGATATGATACTGATCTATCTCTATCTCAATCGGGTGATTTTGTTATAATTAATAAAACATTAATTATAGCAAAATTGATAACTGGTGATTCAACAAAAAACAACAAGAAAAATCTTACTAATCTTAGCAGATTCGATAATTGGTGATATTGTATTAACAACGAGTTATTTAACACAAGATCGATAACTTTGATCAATATTATGATTCGTAAGAGATCAGTCAGCTAATGCAGCCTTATAAATAATGATACAGATCGATAACTAACCTATATTATACTTGTAAAAGATCAATCGGCCGATGCAACTTTACAAGTATGATACAAGTCGTGACGGTACTCACACACAAGCCGAGGGTCGATCAGTCGATGCAGCCCTGCTTGTTGAAAAACTCATCGAGATCTACAGTACTTCTACTCCTAAGGATTGGCGTGAAGCCGAAAAAAATAATTGTATTGATTGATTGATTGTCCTTTTTATAATAATCGGGGTCCAATATTTATACCCAAAACCTAAACATGAATCATACTCAAATATGACTTATTACAATTCTTTGAATAAAAAACACTCGTAACTCAAGATAACTTGGATCATAATCCTTATCTGTTTTTAGAGTCCGACATATTCTCCCCGACGCCATCCGTACGTTGTCCATTGATGTTGTCCGCTGACGTCATCATAAAATAGGTGATTCTGACACTACATCAAAATTAACTGATATTAATTCACATCTTATTAATTTTTTAATAATATAATCTTAGAAGCTTCGAGTTCCGTGTCGTTGTTATCAAATTTTGGTGTAAACACCACACGCTCTGTCCGATTAGGCGGTATCTCCGTCACGATTACAGGGATGGCACAGCAGGTTTGGAATCTCCTGTTGATTTGTCTGTTTGCGGTTGGTTGTAGTTTTTCCTTCGGTACGCAAAGGTTATAGTTTTTCACCGCAGATTTGCGTCCAGGCAGCAACCGGTTTTTTGACCGTAGGATTCGTACGGTTCGCTGCCTCCTGCCGCCCGATTAGCTTGCGTACGGTTGGTTGGTTGGTGACTTCGTACGGTTGCTCGTTTGTCGCCCGATCGCCCAGAGGCCGTCGTTCGCGCGCGTCGATGCCGGTGTCCCCGTCGACGTGGTGCGGATTGAGTCCAAGACCTTTCTTCCGTTTGTAAATTTATAAGGTTGTGAACAATTTGATGATATTTATGAATAATTTGATATATTTTTTCTGGTATCTGCAATCCATAGAAAAAATTTGTAACTTTTTTTTTTTGAAAATTTAGCATATATTTGTCTGAGATCTTATGTTATTCTCAAATTACATCATTCTATCTAATAAATTACACTGGAGAAATTATTGTAAATATAGTAATAAGATAATATAAATATAACTTTAAGACAATATAAGTGCATGGAAAAAATCTGGTTGTTGAGAGGGGCTAAAACAACCCGTTGTTGGCTAGATAGATTCTTTTCACCGCTTTTGGCTTAAAGTAGGTTGAAAAGCCCAAACATTAGCCTTGAGAGAGCACCTCCGTGTGTACTAAATATATACATTTTAATTGAGATCTTAGTTTAAATTACAATGACCTATGTCTCATGGCATCATAGATCCTGAATTTGATTTTAGAATTTTGACTTGTAGTCGGATCTTTTTTCCTATCTATCAATGAAATGACACGCACCTCTCTTGCGCATTCAAGAAAAAAAATGACTTTAGAATTTTGATCCTGTTAGTTGTCATAAATATAATTCACGAGTTAAGTTCAAACTCTTATGTTATTTGCACCTTTAGTAAAAACTAATACTGTACGAGCTAGAGCAGCACTCGTCCAGACTAAGACACTAAATCATCCATGGCGTCGCTCAATGTATGACTGCAAAGTCAATCTGTAATGCAATTTGGATAATAACTTGCTAAACCTTATAAAACTAGACTATACTAATGACAAATGCACCACGCCGCAGTCACCACCGCTGGCAGTGAGACTAGCAGCCTGAGGGTCTGTTTAGTTAGTCTGGATTGGACCTAAGAACCATTCCAGCTTATTAAAATTATATAAATTAGTGAACCGTTTCAACTGGGAATCGGTCGAGGGACTCGTTCCGAAACGAACCCTGAGGCGGCTCGCATCGCACGTTGACTCCAAGCCGGATAGCTGCGGGGACTTGGTGGAACTAGCTGTGACCTGCGATTCAAGCGGGTGCCACGAGGCCTGCCATGAAAGGCCGCTAGGCGCTAACTGTGAAAACTGTGAAGCATCGGCATTCCGTACCTAAAGTTCAGGTATAGTAGCACCTTGAACGGCTTCAAGGCTTCAACGTTTAGGAAATGCAGTGCATCACTATTTCTGTTTCCAATATACATGCATCTACCATGCTTCTCTTCTATGCTCGGGCTGTCAAGAGTCTGTGATACGTCCTCTGCTATCCTGCCATAAAAACTTCTCCAGACAGCATATAGGAGATATTTATAAAAGCTTATTTCATTGATGAAAAATATCAGACATGCAGTTCTTGCATAGTTCCTTCCCATCAACGAAGCACAGACGACGTGCCGATGAGTCAGTACCTCCGCAAACAAATTCGACTAAAAACTTCATTATTGCCTGCAAGTGTCCGGGAAGGAGGAATGTATCCTTGTGACGACAACCACCCAACATCACTATGCTTATGCCGACTCAACAACGAGGCCAAAGTTCGGGTCAAGTCGATTGTGCCACTCTGAGCATGTGATGCCTGAATTTCACCTCTGAAAATTACAGCTAGCGCCATTGCCATCCATCTCCCCGAGACCTTGACCAATAACTCCGCAGGTTACTCCAGATCGTGAAAGGAGGTGCACTGTTATTCGTCAGGCATTTGTGGATAATATATGCTCCAACCTCCAGATATCAATCAAATGATAAGGTATACGACCCGGCTCAGGAGACGTCCAAAGTCTCCAAGCTTTGCTGTCGTCTCTGCGTGATATTATCCCGCAAAGTACTCATAAAGCAAGCATCAGTGATCAAGCTAATTCTTTCCATTGATCATTAGTAAGAGACTAAGAATGTGGGCGGGCGTGACGTTTGGAAAGACGCAGCCTTGGAGCTATGCTGAACTCCAGAGCAACCTTGTGGCGCGCTACCCGTGTCCGACACATGGATGAGATGATAGTGATAGCCAGGTCTCTTTCTTTTGTGCTACATACCATAGACAAGACTGACCTACTTAGCAGCTATACAAGCAACAATGCTGCGATGTGAGCCAAAATGAAAGAGCAAAGGGGAAAGAAAAAAAAAAGAAGTGCACATGCGGATGTTTTGATAGCAAATGATCTGAAGCGGCATATCGCAAAGTTCACAGCAGATACCTTTATGAGTTTCTGCAATAGTCATCTGTAGCTGAATGCACTATTAACTGAATACTGAATACTGAATACAGGTGAGCTGGTAGTTTTTGCTAAGCATGCAGAGCAGATGCACCATTTTTTTTTAATCATGGAGAACAGATGCACTTCAATTTTCCAAGACTCGAGAAACAAAATGGAGATACACACTCCGGTCCAAATTATAAGTCACTTTTGACTTTTTTTGTTCATCCATTTTGTATCTAGACATATTATTATATCTAACAAAATTGATGTACCAAAAAAGTCAAAGCGACTTATAATTTGGAACGGATGGAGTATATAGAAAGTCTCACAATGCCATGTTCAATAGATTATCACAGTGAACAGACTTTGACACATGATTCATGGAAGGAGAGCTTGTATTGAGATCATTCTGAAGACTGTTGGAGGTAGGATCTCCAGCAGGACACGGTGTTCATCTGCATTAACGATCTCAATAATCCCTGAGGTTTCCCTTCGGGTTGTCCACAAACCTGCCAATGCTGAAGTGCCCAAGCTCCAAACCAGCCGCCGCAGCCGTGCCGGCCTCCCCGTCCAAAGCCATCTCGACCAGGATCCTTCCAACAGCCGGTGCCATCTTGAATCCGTGGCCGGAGAACCCCGCACCCACGACAACGTCCTTCCGAAATCACCACCCAGGAAGTCCATCACGAAGTCCTCGTCGGGGGTCATGGAGTACATGCACGGCAGTGGCTTGAGCGGCCGCTGCACAGTGTCGATATGGTCCGGCGTGAAGTCTCGGATCCAACGTGCCATGGGCTCCACCAGGGCGGCGGCGGCATCAGTGTCCGTGGTCATATCACCACGGCTGTCCGGATCGCACGGTGACCCGCCGTGCATGGCGATCTTGATCAGGCCCGGGAACTCCATCGACGGGGTGCCGTAAATGATGGGGTCGCCATAGCTCGCGAACGTTGGGAAGCTGGCCTCCGGGGTCAGCTCTCGCTCCCGGCCGGGCTTCGCCTTCCAGTAGCACAGGAGGGTGCCATGGTTGCACAGGCAGATCCATGCCGGTGACCGACCTGACCAGCTTGCTCGTCCAGGCGCCCACCGTTATGATACATTTTGCTCCATGGAATTCCTCGCCACTCGTCGTTTTCACCAAGATTGATCCTTCTGCTAGATAAAATTGTCTAAAAGATTTCAGAGCTGTATAATTGGCTGGTGGAGTATATACTTTTACAATGAATTTTTTTTTCGAATGATACAATCTTAAAACGGCAAAGCAACTTGCGAGAACACAAGAGCAGGTAGCACTTGCAATTTACACATCCCCTCAGCCTTTGAAAATCGATATTTTTTCCGTCCAATAAAAAATGATCTACAATCTCAGTATTTGATTGGTACTCTGTTAGATTTTTGATGATTCCACAATCGAGCCAACACAAGAAACAACATTAGCACATTGCTAGGAACTACCGATTTTTTTTTTTACTTTTTAGCATCTTTTTTTATAGTTTCTCACAAATAAACCTCTGGAGAAAAGATTTCAGAATCTGAACCCTTAATTCGGCGTCATCGATACTGGCGCCGAACTAACACGTCTCGGCGCCAGCGTCTTTAGCGCCGAGCTTCTAGGCTCGACACTGACGTGACGCTAATTTGGCAGGCGGCTCGACGCCGTAGACGCTGGCGTCGAGCTCGGCGCCCTGTACGAGAGACAACGCTATGGCCGTGGTGCCCTATACGAGAGGCGGACAACGCACATACGGCTACGCTGCTGCTGCTCCGGTTAGCCCTAGCCCTTGCGGCCTATTGCGGCCTAGCCCTAGCCCTATATACATGCATTGATCGTCAGTTGTCACATCACATGGTGTGCAATGAGTACATGCATACAGCAGCTACTCCGATCATACTAATTATAAAACTAAATACTGAGACAGTTTTGCCAGACAAATTTTTTAAGCCTAATCAATATATGATTTGACACCGTGTTGCTACAGTAATATATACTAATGACAGATTAATTAGGTTTAATAAATTCATCTCGTGAATTACTGACGGATTTTATAATTTATTTTTTTATTAGTATCCAAACACTCCATATGACACCCTTTATTTGATACCTCCTAAACTTTAGTCACTTGATACCTCCTAAATTTTAGTCGCTGAATCCAAACATCCCCTTACTATGAAAGATATGGAGTACTCCCTCCGTCTCTTTATATCTGTCGCCGTTGGTGTACGTACGTGCCACAAATTTGACTCAATTTATAGAAAATACATGCAATATTTGTAACTCCAAGTAAATTTATTAAAAAACTAGTTTCAAAGATCTTTCCAATGATACTAATTATATACTATAAATATTAATATTTTTAATATATATTTAGTTAAAATTGTTTCTCGAAAAACGTAAACGATGGATATTTAGGGACGGAGGAAGTACGGTACTATTATTAGATATTCTGATGCAAAATCTGGAAAAAGAAGTTAATGTGTTTATTAATTCTGCATATGCATATTAAAATCCAATAGAACCTAGCCATCTAGGAGGAGTAGCTGTTTCAATGAGATTTTAAAATTATGAGATTTTTTTTATTTCATAAAATCCCCCCTAACCAAACGGAGCACTAGTATCTCTTAATATATATATCATAAATATATTTTATTATTAATTTAATAATATTTAAGCACAGGCGCAGCATTACTAAAACTTACTGTACGTACTACTGTGCGTTGCATGAGCTGCAGCTCGCGCCTATATACGTACATGCGGAATGCTGGACGTGATTTGACACATGACCCTGCCCGGTGTGCCCTAGCCTATGCAGTTGCCCATGCCTGGCTAGTGGCTAGCCTGGCCACATACCGCTAGTCCGCTACGATGCTGTTGCTGATCCGATTAGCCCTAGTCCCTAGACACCTAGTATTAGGCTTCACTTCCATCTAGGGTGATGATCATGCGCGCCTTTCGCTCGGGATGATCAGTGATCGGCGTGCCGCGCAGCAGGGAGCTGTGGCCCTACCGTAGTGGCTGTAGGACTGTAGAAGTACGGCCGTGGCCGAATAGGGCTGTACCGTCGTCTCGTCGTGCCGAGACGGAGGTGGGTGGGGCCTGTACCGCTTGATGCGAGCGGCCGAGCGCCGGAACGAGGTCGGTCAAAGATTTGATCTCGTGGGCGCAACGAGCTAGCGGTCCCATCCAAATTTATTTCCATGGCACGCAGCAGGTGCAGACTGGGCGCGCGCATTGCGAAATTTGGCCCCCGTCAGCAATTTCATTAGTGTTCAATCGACTAATTAGACCCCTACGCATTTGCAGTGGCAGTGAGTTTTGGTCCAGCTACAAGTTCTAGTGCAGAGATAGCGCAGAGGGTAGAGCAGCAGCAGCGTAGCGGTAGTGGTGCATTGTCCCATCAGTGCAGTGGCAGCAGGAGTGGTCCAGTACAAGGGTGCAGAGATAGCGCAGAGGGTAGCGCAGAGGGTAGAGCAGCAGCAGCGTAGCGGTATGTGCATTGTCCATCAGGGCCTCTCGTACAGGGTGCCAAGCTCGGCGCCAGTGTTTATGGCGCCGAGCTGTCTGCCAAATCAGCGCCCGCCAGCGTCGAGCCTCGAGCTCGACGCCGAGACGTGTTAGCTCGGCGCCAGCATCGATTGCGCCGATTTAAGAGTTTATATTCTGAAATCTTTTCTTCGAGGGGTCTATTCATGAGAAATGAGAAACTTTCAAAAAAAAATGATAAAAAGTAAAAAATTCAGCTAGGAACTGCTCCTGGCGCGGTTTGAAATGGGGGAAAATGTGACAGTGAAATTAGTAGTACTTCGTAACAGAGGGCATGTTTATATCCCTTACAACTAATAGTTACTCATGTTGTTTTAGCTTTCTACCGAGAATAACAAAGATTCTTTAAATCTAGACATAAGGTGTGTCCACATACATGCAACTTGCTGTGAATCATCCAAATGAACTGTCAGAACAACAGATATAGTGAGACAGCGAGAGTAAGTGCTAAAATTTAGCCGAGGACAACTAATACGTCCAACTAATGTCTTACCTGCTACCCAACTAACAATTAGCTGTTGGCTTGTATTTCCTTGCTAACACTCCTGCTAACATAGCTAATAGCTGGATCCTGCCGCAGAATTTTAGAGGGTTTAGTACGTGTGATGTGACAAATAAGAGTGACAATTAGCTGTACAATTCCAATTAAAAATACAGGGAATTGACCATGATAGAAAGAAAATAGCAATTGCAAGTGATGGTATGGTGGCACACGGCAATCTACTCTTCCGTAGCAAGAACAAGAATGTTAGATTTGAAACGGCAGAGGGGAGGAAGAAGACAAGAGCAACGCCCGCGCTCACCTCGCTTAGTGACATCGACCACCTCCGTCCTGTCCTTCACGACGGCGCCTTGGTCGCCTGTATCACCCCGCCGAGCTCGCTCGCCGCCGCCATCCACCCGTCGGGCACCCTGAACACGTCAGCCCCTGGCCAGGCCGAGCCCTCGACGACCTCAATGGAGCTGGCGCCGCCGTTCCTGACGGCGGCGAGGAGCGACGGGTCGTCCCGCGGGCCCACATCGAGGTGCGGCGTGGGCGTGAGCACGCGGTCCCCGTCCCCCGCCTCGGCCTGGGCCTCGTCCCAGAGGCGGCGCTCCAGGCGCAGCATGGGCGTGTAGTACGCCTTCGCGTAGGTGGAGCGGGTGCCGCGGGACTCGCCGTGCGAGGAGCCGCGGACGTGGAGGCGGTCGAAACGCTCCAGCAGCAGCACGCGCGCGCCGCGGGAGGCCGCCGCGCAGCTGCCCATGATGCCCGCTCCCACCACGATCACGTCGAAACGGCGGTGGCCGTCGCCGTCGGAGTCGGACGCCGCCATTCCGCCGCACACTGTCCTCGCTGATCGCTCTGCTTGACTCAGCGAAAACACCGAGGGCTCCGATGAACCCGGCCTGTCTTCCTCCCTCGTCGCAGATGCAATGCAAAACCCGCAAATTCCGCACCCCGCAAAACTGCGCAGACAACCACAAGCAGAAATCGACGTCACACCACCACCCGAACCACATCGGCGGAGATCACCCACCGCACGGATTTCCACAGCTGGGCCTGGGACCCACATGCACCGGAGCTCACCTGGGTCGGATCTGGATGAACTCGCGCGCGCGAGGGCGCCTTTTGAACGCCCGAGCCGTGCTCCCTCCAGCTCCGCCGCCGCGGAGGCGCAACCACGCGTCCAAGCCGTGCTCCCTCCACGCCGTCGGGAGTTGAGTTGAAGTGACCTCAGCGCATGGACGCCGACGCCGGGCCCCAAGCCTGGTCACTCTGGTGGGCTTGTGGGGTTAGCGGCGCAGCCCGCCCCACTTTGGTGGGTTTGGGAGGCCCGCACAGAGTACAGAGCTTGGCTCAGGCGTGCTGCGTGCAGAATGCAGAGTACGGGAAATAGTGAAAACTCACCTTCTGCATCTGCAGAAGGAAACATTCTGCGTCAGGGCCGTCCCTTGGCACGTGCAACGTGTGCGACGGTACAGGGCCTCTACTTTTCAGGGGCCTCCAAATATATATAGAGTATATATACGTATATATGTATTACTTGGTAAATAAGAACGTACAGCAGTAGCTTTGGCCTTTGGCCCATTAGCAAAGCGACGTGTACAACAATTGACCAAAGCCCAATAAACAATGGCTTGTTGCCCGGCCGCTGTTCAGTTGGCAATGTTGCCGATCCCAATTCCCCAACTGAATCAGATCGCAAATCTTAGGTCTCACGTGCGGTTTTTAAAGGAGCATGGTTGTTTTCCTAATGCAACTATTGCATATAGAGTTTTGTTGACTATTCCTATGACTGTTGCATCAGCAGAGCGAAGCTTTTCTAAGTTAAAGCTATTGAAGACTTATTTGCGTTCTACAATGACACAAGAAAGACTTAATGATTTGGCTATAATAGCACTTGAAGGTGAACTGTTGGAGAAGATTGATTATGAGCATATTATTGAAGACTTCATTTCAAAGAACACTAAAAGAATGATGTTATTCAAGTAAAGATTATGTAATATAGGTATCATTCTTGAATCTTGATATATATTTTATTGTAACATACTGCATGCTTTATAATATCGTATATTTAGTTTTTTTTTCTAGGCTAATAGGCCTCATTTCTTAGTATCGTACAGGGCCTCTAATTTTCCCGGGACGGCCCTGTCTGCGTGTGTTTGTCTCAATCTGTCTGCAATTAAAATGAATCAATGATTTACAAATCTATACAACAGTTTTCCCTTGTATTCACTAGCATCTAATAATCCACTAGTTAGACAGACAATTTCCGTTAATAGCACGAAGCCAATTCCAGAAAAGGTTTGTTCAGTCTCTTGGGTCTTTTCCTCGATCCATAACTGCTAACATGTTCACCTGTGCTCAGATCTTCCATTTCTTCACTAAGTTCTTCGAGAAGGCAATGCACGAACAAGATCAACCGAGCGCCGTCAGAAAAAAAGAAGACGATCACTAGCAGGAGCAGGAGCCGCGGCTGCATGCATCTTTTGCTCGCCGACGAGGTAGTCGTCGCCGGTACACGAGAACCTCCGCTGCCATAGTTGTAGATCGGCGGTTTGAAACCGCCGTTGTTGTAAATCGGCGGCGCACTGCCATCGCCGGTGCTCTGGCCGTCCATCTGTGCTCCGAGAAATATCGCGTCCGACCTCTTTATCCTGCAGAGACAGGTGATGAGAACAACCAAGCAAATGCATGCGTGCTGACGTGCTGTTGTATTGTACATTGACAATGGCAGGTCGATCCGGGGAGGTTTATAATAATTGATGAATTAACCGGAGGTCGGGAGGCAGAAGGCGATGGTGTAGTCCAGGGCCTTGCAGGTGAATGTGCTGGTGCTGTCGTCGTAGGCGTAGCTGTACGCGCGCGGGCATGCCGACTTGAAGATGGACGAGTACACCGTCGGGTGGCACGCGTCCGGCGTCCCGTACGCGCCGCTGCAGCAGTACCTGTCCTGCCCGAACGCCTCGCACGCGCTCCGGCACGCGATGGCGCCGCCGCCGCAGTCCACCTGCAGCTCCCTCGGGCACGCTAACACGAAACGAAAGCCACGGTCAGTCAGCCGGTAAAAGGTTGTCGCCGGAGTAGGGACCGGACAGCGGCACTCACAGCGGTTGAGGTCGGCCATGCATCCGGTGGCGTTGCACGCGCCCTGGCGCGCCCGCGGGATCGCGACGACCGGCAGGTTGTAGCCGTCGACAAGGGTCACGTCGTAGAAGTCCTGACCGCTGCCCTGCCCCAGGGTGACCTCGAACAGCGTGGCCGACGGCGTGGCGCCGGAGCCGCGGCACTCCAGCCGCCCGCCGCAGTCGCCCGTCTGGCACACGCCCGCGCCGTCCGCGTCGAACACGCACCCCGTCCGCACCCATATCCGCCCCGACCACCCCACCGTGCCGCGAGCTGGACCGTCTGCCCAGGCTCGAGCCTGAACCCCGTCGTGGAAAGCTGCGACGTTCCGGCGCCGGCGAGCGTCCCTGGCCATATCGGGTGGGAGCAGTAGTTGGAGATAGTGAACGTCATGGCCATCGAGACATGGTGCCATTGCACGAACACCAGAGCAAGCAGACACAGCTGACGAGTTCTTGGTTGTTCTCCCATGCTACTGATTTGGCTATGGCAAATCTGCCAACCGATGTGAATCCGAGGGAGAAAGGGGAAGGCACTGGAGGCACCCTTGAGAGATTTAAAGCTCGAGGCAGGCGACTGGTGACGAGGGAGGCAAGCCAAGTGCTACCAAGACAGCTTTTCTTGGTGAGCTTGGTTTAGCATGTCGCATGGATGGGGTGGCCTGGGAAAGAAGAAATACCTTTTAGATGCGGCAAGCTGATGATGTTAACATGAGTTGTTTGGCCCATGCTGGTAAAGCTTGTGATTGTGTAGTGTTTGCCGGTCTGAACCAATCTACGGTGTCTATAGAGCCTGAACATTACTGAAAACTGAACTTTTGTCTGAAATAGGAGTGCAATTTTTGCATTTTGGTCCCTTTTGAAAACATTTTTTACAAAAAGACCTATGTCAAAACATTTGCTGAAAATAGATCATTTTTAGGCGTCTTAGAACATGACGCCAAGGTATGAGGGTCGGCGTCGACTGACACGACGCCAAGGTCTTGCCACGTCACGGACGACCCCGGTCGACGGCGACACGGTGGCGCATGGGGTCCGACACGTCGGCGTTGTGTCAGCCAACGCCACAGGCCCAACCTCGACGCGGTGGGACTATACGCCGATCTATTGGCACCATCCGGCGCGCGGCCCAGGCGGCCCAACAACGCTTCGTGGCCCAATAGCTCGGCGTGGGGTCACTTAACGCCGAGCCACCAGACTCGGCGCGGCCCGACTCAACGCCGAGGTCTGGACTCTTGAAGCCGCGCCGCGGCCCCCTTCTTCTTCCTCCCTCCATTCAGAAGACTGCAATTGGGCCCCCTTCTATCCGAAGACTGCAATTTATGAAATAGCGAATGCACAACGATTACACTCACATCAAAACTAACAATGGCATATCGCAAACTAAACCTAGCATGCCTTAAGGGATTGAAAGAAACAAGTGATACCGACGTTGCAAAGGTACTACGATTACACACTCACATGAAAACTAACAATGCATGTTGTAAACTAAACCTAGCATGCCTTAGGAGATTGAAAAGAACAACTCATACAAGCATTCCACATTCGGATTGACTAACAAAGGTTGGTCCTAATAATGCTCCCACATATTAAATCGAGTTGCGCCTTTCCCATAGTATCCTCCAGTTTGACGGCGGTGGTGGTGGCGGTGGAGAAGGAGGCCCATGCTTCTTATGGTACGTGCATCGGCAAGACGGATTATTGCATAGTGCCTCCTCTGCATCATTCTTTGTTGTCGTCGTCCGACTTGTCCCTCATTACCACTTCTAGGGCCATACTCTAGGTCAAAGATGCGTCTCTCAGAGATATGTGATGTCTTTGTTGATGGGGATAGATAGGAGGATGGTCGACCCATCTAGTGAAGCCACGATTATCCGGGAAAGCTTGAATCTCGAAAACCCATCTACCAATAAGTACTACTACAAACCAAATGCAAATCTAAAAAGGAGAGAGTTCAAAGGAAATACAAATCCTCACGGGCATCTGAAGAAACGACGGCCTCCACCATCACAGTCGTTGTACATCTGCACAACGCAATCCAAACCGTGGCGGCATTTTGGCCAATCTTCAATGCGCTTGTCGTATGATCTAAGAGGTCTTTCACGGGTGAAGTCACTCTTCCTCTCCAAAGAAAATTCCTCTATTGGTTCTTCAAAAGAATCAGGATCCAGAGAACCCTCCCACACAATCGGAGGTCCCTTCCTCACCCCCTTTCCTCTCCCTCCGCCGAAACCCTTTCCACTCGAGGAACCTTCGCTCGACATTTGCTAAAACTAAACCAGAAAACAAGTTGTGTGGATGTGGAGCAAGACATGGAGCACTATATATAGAGATGAAGGCAGGTTCACCATGAATGCTACTTGACAAAAAACTTGTGTGCGTACTCATTTATTGAATCTGCAAAGGCTAGATGCTTCATCTGAAAAGCCTACAACCATGACTAGTCATTTCATCTAAAAAGACTACACCTGTGTTTTGTCACTTCATCTAAATGCAGTACATCACTCTGATATTAATTCATTGCGTGATCACGGATACAACGAAGAAACGAATCTAGGCTTTTCGGTGAGTTTTCAAATAGACTTTTCATTGATCGCAACAATGATTTGTAGCCCTTTCAAAGGATCGCAAGCAAGACAAGTAGCCTTTTCAGTGATACAAACAGTAGCACTACAGTCTAGGATAGTTAACGAAGTACAGGGTATAAGACCATCTAAAATAAAAGCATAGTGTATTACAACATAATAAAAAAAGTCCAGGGAATAAGTTCATCTGAAATAAAAGCAGAGTGCATTACAACATAGTAAAAAAAGTCCAGGGCTACACGACATCGCTCATGAATAAACCAAATACCTACTGAGTGCAACGAGGCCACTTTCCCTTCCTCTGGGCATCGGGATTCTCCTCCATCGCTGTCTTCGCTCGGCGCACACGCTCAAGCTTCTTCTCCCTCTCCGCCCTGTACCTAGGGTTTTCTATTTGTTACACAAATAATGAATAAACATTGGGATTACCTTGGAGTACGAGCTTTACCACGCCTTGGCATCCTAACATTACGTAGAAAAAAAATCAATCTAAAGTACCTTTCAACGAATGTAAAGCTACTAACACTAAATCACCATACCTCCCAAATAAGCTTTTCATTACAAACCCTAAGCAAATTTGAATTCCAACAAACACAAAAATTAACTCAATGATTATAAACCAGAACATATACAACAACAATAACAACCATACATTTGGGTCATTCAATCATTTGAACCACCATACATTGCACGAATGACATGAACATGAACCAAACCTATAATGCCAAGTTCAAAAAAAAAACACAAACAACCGAATCTAAATGGATGAAATGAAAGAGGGGAAAGAGGAGTACCTTGGCAAAACGTCAAAACCCTCGATCTGGCCTTCCAAGAGCTAGATTTAGGATTTAGGGTTCGTGGGAAGAGAGAGGAAGTGAGAAATGGCCACCTGTTAGTTCTGAATGGAGGGAGGAGGAAGAAGGGGGCCGCGGCGCAGCCTCAACTGACCGAACCTCGGCGTTGAGTCAGGCCGCGCCGAGGTTAGCGTCTCGGCATCATCTGATCGCACGCCAACCTCTTGGCCCACGAAGCGTTGTTGGGCCGCCTGGGCCGCGCGCCGGATGGTGCCAAGAGCTCGGCGTGACTCCCCACAGCGCTGAATTTAGGCCTGTGGCGTTGGCTGACACGACGCCGACGTACTGGGCCCCATGCGCCGCCCCGAGTCGTCGGTGACGTGGCAAGGACTCGGCGTCGTGTCAGTTGACGCCGACCTTCATACCTCGGCGTGATTTCCTAAGACGCTTAAAAATGGTCTATTTGTAGCAAAAGTTTTGACTGAAGTCTTTTTGTAAAAAATGTTTTAAAAAGTGACCAAAATGCAAAAAAATCAGTACTGTAGCTGGACGTGCAGAGAAACATTGGATGCAGGAATTGATCTTAAGTTGGACTGTATTATAGCATCACAAATGTTGGAATATTGCAGCGTCAATTCCATGTTAGTCAGACTTGCAGTCTCTTGCACTACACTGGAATTATCGCATCCAGGAATTTCAATTATTCTTTGAAGTACAGTATGTAACAAGCCTTCAGTTAAATTCCAAGTGTTTTGGGCATAGCTAGTGAATTATTAATCTACGATACAATCCTGAGAAGATACTTCAGGAGGCAAACATGGCTACGACAGTAAGAACTTAGAACTAAGTAAGGAATCCCACAAGAAAGCATCTGGGTGAACAAACAAACATGCAAACAATCAGGCACAAGGATGACATATTCACGTAGACGCATCAGTCTGATTGGAAAACGCATAAAATAGATCATACAGGATCTAGCAAACTTATTATGCTTACTCTGCAGAAACTGTTAGTGCTACTAGGTAGACCATCTCGCCTATCTTCCAAGTCACCTCAGCATGCATAGCATCGTTTGATACGAGAGCAATATTACATATTAGCAGTCTCAATTTAAGCAAAGCATCCAGAAAGTGATCACAAAGAATTCATCAAGGCCCGACTTATCATGCGTATTCCATTTCACATGCAAATCTTATTAGCCAAGTGCAGAGAACTTAAATGCAAGGCAGAGCTCCTGACCTTTTTCTTTCAAAAAAAAAGTGCAGAGAATACTAGAGATCACATGCTGATGGTGATGCACACAATGGCATTGGTTTTACATTTTCTATGAGAACAAACAATGGCACTGCCATTTTTTAGAAGAAAATTGGATGAAAGATTACCTCTGTCTAAAAGTTTGCCACATTGTACTAGTACTCAAGTCTTGTCAGAAGCACAACAAACAAGTTTTCTTTTGCAGCACCGTTACATATGCTAAATAGAAAATACATCATATTTTCATATGCTAAGATAAAAGGCTTATGAAGCCACCTCATCTGTAGGCTCTTCAGCATCGCCTTCAGGAGCATTGGAGTCATCGACAATTGTGACGCCCTCGAGATCCAAGGGGCGCCCAGTCATTGGATGAATGGGGCGCCTATCACGTGGCCCACCCTTCCGTGCCATAGCTAGCATTGGAGGTGGTGGCAGAAGTCCGGCACGAAAGAGAATACTCTGCACAGGATCTGATGGCTGTGCCCCAACTGACAGCCAATACCTACAGCAGAAGAAAGTTGTTCTTTGTTACATGGACTTCAATGCAGAAAATAGATGAAGGAAAAAAAAAACAGCTCGACATACTTAAATGTAACTTGACCAAAGATATCAATGTTGATAGAGAAAATTCCCTATTTGACTCTAGAAAAACTTCTCCTTACCTATTTGACATCGAAACTTAAAATCTTCCCTACCTGTCACCTATTTCATCTTTTGTTCCCTATTTGACACTTCCGTTACTTTTTGGTTGTAACAATCTTAAGTCCAAGGTAAAAAAGCCATCTTACCCCTCCTATTTGTTTTTTAGACGTGCTGTGTTCAGGTGTACCGAAAAAAAAAGCAAAAAAATAAACGAGACAAAAAAATATGCAGCAACATGAACATAGCAACATGAAAACACACATAGTAAGGGTAAGATGGTCTTTTCACTTTGAAGCCACGGAAGTGTCAAATAGGGAACAAAAGATGAAATAGGTAACAGATAGAGAAGATTTAAGTTTTGGTGTTAAATAGGGAAGAAGTTTTTCTAGTGTCAAATAGAGAATTTTTTATATGCTTGAATTATTGATTCTTGACCAAATGATAAAACATAGAAAGTAGATAATATAGGACCAAAAGCATTATCTCTACTACTTATGCTTCCAAGTACATCTTACATACTCCATATATAAATTTTACTTTCTTCACCTATCATCTTGATTCTTGTCCACTTGAGTTTCGCTAGAAAAAAGAAAGGAAAAAGTCTACTTAGCCCCCTCAACTATTAGTGGTTGTCTACTTCACCCCCTCACCTATAAAACCAGGTATTCTATTCCTCAAACTATTGAAAACCGTCTAAATAACCCCCTGAGACGGTTTTAAAAGAGGTTTTGCTGACGTGGCATATTAAAAAGTCTATATACCCCCCCTAACAATCAAGGATTGACTACATGACCCCGTCAACTATAAAATATATATTGTAGCCCTTAGCATCTAATAATGTTCAAATGATGGTCATGTAGGGTCATTTGGACACCGTATCCCACCACACTGGCCTAAGCACACATGCTTGCACACAGGCCCATCGACTGCCTCCCTTTCTGTTTGAACTCTTTCTAGGCTTGTGCTACCGCCTGATGAGCACCACCTTGTTTCCTACTCCACCTCATGCACTCCTCGATGACATAGAGCACATACCTACGCTTGTGCCCTTGTCATCCGGCTCCTCCCACTCCCACATCCTCGCCCCTCTCGCTTTCTCCTCTGATTGCTACCTAAAAAATTAAAGGACGACTGGATAGAGCATGTGGGAGGGGCTGAACGACGACAATGTGTAGGCGTGGCGTGCTTGAGCTCAATGCCATCAACGAGTGATGGGGGGTGAAGCAGGAGACAAGATGCCACATGCCTCGTTGGACAGTGGGTCAACCTAGAAAGAGTAGGGAGGTGGAGGCAACAAATGGCATGCATTCAAGCATGTGTGTTTAGGCCAATGTGGTAGCTGGATACGGTGTCCAAACAACCCTAAAGATCATCTGATGAGTCATTTGAACATTACTTGATGCTTTGCGGGCTATAATATCATGTTTTATAGTGGAGGGGGTCATGCAGTCAATCCTTCGTACGTCAGGGGGTTATATAGACTTTTTAATATGCCACGTCAGCAAAACCACTTTCAAAACCGCCTCAGGGGGTTATTTAGACGGGTTTCAATAGTTTGAGGGGTAGAATACCTTGTTTTATAAGTGAGGGGGTGAAGTAGACAACTACCAATAGTTGAAGGGGTTAAGTAGACTTTTTCCAAAAAAGAAACAAATATACTTCCCAGAGAGAGGTCGGTACAGCAATGCTTGGCAATTGGCACAGCATAATCAACTAGAAGGGTGAAGCTCCTGCTTTCCTGACATCCGCAATGGTAAGGTCTACCACCCTAAGCTACGTATGGGCAATACGACTGTCTGAATAAGTCCCCATTAAATTTTTTATATGCTTCTAGAACCAATCCCACGTTTAGTTTTAAAATGCTTGACTGAAGATATAGCAGTTAAATTTTGCACTAGATGCTGTAATAGCTTATAGTTGCAATAAACCCAAATTTAAGCAAGTGAAACTTACTTCACCCGGTCAAATTTCAGGCCCATCCTCTTGCCTCCATCCTTCCCTGCACACGACAACAAGGAAAAAAGATCCATCTTTCATCAGGTATATTCAGTCACCAATAAGCAGGCCAACAGCAGCAGCAGAAAATGGTTCTTGAGGCGGTAAAGAAACGAATCAATCAATCTTAAGGGGGGAATCTAGGGGCTAGAGAGGAAGGAGGGCAGTAGCGTAACCCAACCTGGGAGCGGGTTGTAGTAGCCGAGGACCTCGAGGTGCTTGCCGTCGCGCGGGGAGCGGCTATCGGCGGCCATCACCCGGTAGAAGGGCCGGTTCCGGCACCCGAACCGCGCCAGCCGGATCCGTACCACCATGGCTCTAGCTTCCTCGGTTTCCTAGCCGCTTCCGCCGCCGCCGCCTTTCCCACCTCCTCCAGCTGCGGTGCTGTCGTGTGGGCGAAAGGGTTCAAGGGAGATGGGAAGATGCCAGTGAGACCGACAGAGTGGGCTTCAATATGGGCCGGTCCTGTACGCGTCCTCGGCTTAAAGGCTTCCCAGTTAGTTACCGTTGGACCGAAATGGAAGGCACCCAGAGTTCCTATGCTAGCTTTGGGCCCACTCAAATGTATCCCCAGTTTCTGTCCCTTTTCTTAATAGTTTTGTGATTCCTTTGGCATTGACAAAATAATCTGTGAAACTAACATTGTATTGTGTCCTTGATAAAAAGCGAACTTCAAAAAATGAATTGTTTTGATTCAGCATCTCTTTCTCAACGCAACAACTCAAAATATTAATCTTATATTGAGGATACCAAGAAATGACACCATATCATAATATGTATCAATAAACTCTAATATATATCAATACCCCCTGCTTTTATCTGTGCAAAACCAAAAATAATAGTAACTAATCCTATAAATCTATGTCGTTGCTTAAGAATCAACTGTTCTTCTTAATCAATCAATTCTTATGTATAGAGAGAACGTCTCTAAAAAATTGCAAATACTAATATGTTAAGAATTAATTGAGTTAAAAAAAGGTGTCATCGTTCATCGTTGGCATGAATCACTATATTCATAAAGAGTTGGATCACAATTTGTATCGACTAAAAAACAGTAGGAATTCCCAAAAATAGCATGTTCCCGAAGAGCTATATACACTTTTTTGCTGGTCAATCAAGGACGATGACAATGCCAAGCAACCTCATCATACATTTGATCCCATCGAGATATCTTTGCAAGGTAGATAATTTTATGTATAATATTTTTGCATCTATGTTTTGGGAGATTTTGTAATTTTCTCTTTTTTTTCTTTTGCTCTTATAAGTCTCTACATTGCGAAAGTCTAGTTTTGGTTATCGACCAATTCATTAACATACAACAGAACCACTTTTATTAATTTAATGACAACAAGACCTTGTTATAACTAATTTTACTAAATCCGCTACTCTTCTTTTGCATCAACAATTAATAATCTTTTTTCTTGACTTGTTGCATTAAAAACTAAACTACAAGCTTTTGATAAAAAACAAGTTGGTCTAGCAAGATTTGTAATATGAGTACCTTTACGCTTTTGCCGAGATGTAAAGCACCATTTAGGATTTCATTTCTTAATACCATTACCGAAATAACTTCTGCTTCTATCATCTATTTCAAATTGATGTTTCAATATCTCCTTGTCATTTTATCCGCACTTTTATTTTTCTTTTTCTTTTTGTCTCACCATTACAAAGTTAATTAATTTTTAAGATTAAGAGAGTCGGAATAGCTTGAAATAAATAATAATTGTTCCAACTGAACCTTCTACTCATAATTAAACATAGCCTTAATGAATTAATTGACTTCTTTTACTTATCAAAATTAAATTACAAATAAAATGTCGAACCTATTAGCATTCTAACGTCAAAAGTATAGTTTAAATTAAAGTAAAAAAATGCTTCATGTATACTTAAATTGTATAAATAGGGGGTAAACGATTTAAATCATATAAATAGGGGTAAACAGGGTGTCTTATGTCTCATAGAAACTGGTGTCATGTTACAATCAGAGGAAACTAATTCTATATGTAGAAACAAAGTATCTCCCATTTTAGGCATGATATTTTTTTCAATTTTGAAATAAAGGTTCATGTTTTGTGGGGAAGGATGTGCACATTTTTTTGAATCCAGCACCAACAAGTATAATACCCTGATAATAGATCAATTCAACCAAAGTTCACCCCGCTCATTTTCCTCGCAATAGACCTATTAATTCTCTAGGTAAAAAAACACTAGGCGTTCCATCTTCGAAAACACTTACTTTTGATGGTACTTGGCAATAATCTCTATGTCTAGTGGAAGGGTCTAAAACCCAAGTAACTTTGATAAGATTTGATGATTAATAACTACTGGAGAGCATATTCTATCGGATTTGTTAGCTCTCTTCCAGTCTTGATAGTTGGTGTGATTATCATGGGAAAAAAGCTGGTTGGCTTTCTATGTAGTAATTTTGATGTCTTCTCTCAGCCTGTTCAATTACTCAAACACTCACTAGTGTAGCTGGTCGGCCATGTAGCCCTATAGCTCGATGTTTACGGTTTAGCGTTTTGGTGAACATTGCCTCTAGATGAGTTTAAAACGACAGCAACCCCCTAGTGTCCTGCGAGAGAAACATCAGGTCGAGCCAGCGCAACGGCAGAATTTTTTCTCGACCATGTCAATGACACTTATTTCATTAAGAGAAAGTAGGGTTGTTACAAAGTCCGGAACGATAATGTCATTACCGAACCAACGCATCACCTCACCCAGAAAACTAACTTCCTATTACACAGAACTAGTTTGCGACCTGCAGCTGAGCCCAAAACTCAACCCAAAAACACTTACGGTGGCGAGTACCATCCAACCCCTATTAGCGGCAGTAGATGCCTATATCCTGCCCCGATCCAGTCGTTGGCTTCCTCCACGATTTTGTGCACCAGTTGTAGCGCCGGTGTGGCCTGGTGTCCAAAGGTTCTGTCATTGCGTTCTTTCCAGATCATCCAACTAACGAGAAAGAACATTGGTGCTGGTCTCTGGCACTGGCTGGAGTGAGCATATACCTTTACCTTACCTCTCCGCTAATCATCACTCCAAGCGATTTGTCATGTTTGGTCAGAGACATGCTTTTCCTGCCTGAAAGACAGAAGCACAAATGCAGGTTAACCTTTGTCCAAGAATACGAGATGGGAAAATTATTGAACCAAAAACAATTGGCTTTCTTGTTCGTATTGACATTGTTCTCTAGCAAATGGCAATGTCATCATTGTTGCTGTCTAACAAGTGTCAAGATGCCTGATTCTATGCATGTTTTTCTTACCTACGACCACCTAAAAGCGAAATGACTAGCTAGCAAGGACAGCCGTTTCTTGCTGTGATCAACTAAGAGGAAATTTGTTGATAAACTAGAAACTCCTAGCAGCATTGGCTTCAAAGACACTGTCTAACAACTGATGCATTGTCTGCATCCCGGAAAACCTACACACTCGAGTGATACCTGTCAGAAGAAAAATATAGATTTAGTCATCCGAATACATTTAAGTATAATTCTTCAACAAAACCAACTTTTCATCACATAAATTTGCCTAATATGAGTCAGAACAATATTTTCCCAGCAATCGGGAAATTCAAGAGGATGCTTTGCAAAGCAAAACTTGTGTCATGGGTTCATCTGACTTCCCAGATAATCGTAGTGGTGAGTTACAGTTGTCTAGACAGCACAAAAGATCCATCAAGTCAGAAACAGACTATAATCAATAAACACATTCTGAAGAAACTGCACATAGTGTGCATGTTCTATGCATGCAAAGGCCACAGTATAAATCAATATTTGCAGATCGGATGAGGTAAAGTTCAAAGTAACCAGACCAGGACCAAGCAAAAAATGTAACAAAAATACCAATTAGATCCTAGGCAGGACAAACTATTTGGATACTTACAAAAGGCACCTGTGCTTCTATGATAAAATCTGAGCCAATTGTAGCGATTGTGAAAACTGGAAAATTCTTAACAGAAGGTGGTGAAGAAACACCTTTCAGTTTATATGTACAATTCTAAATCAGGAAGATGAAAATTATACAAACTCTAGTTTCAGTTTCTTATTTCTTCCTGTTTTAAGGAGTTCATATACAGAACACCTAGAAATTAATACCTGGAGCAGGAGATTCAATTAAACGATATTCTGAAGCAACAATTTCGCCTCACCCAGTTTCCATGTCAACAGTCAAGACACTAGCTTCCATACTTCCAGAATGCTTCAGTTGCTACACAACAGTGAGTGTACCACTGAACAAGAGAAATGATTGAACCCTCTCCCCCCAACAGCGCTGAGCTACATTATACCTACAAGTATTATTTAGGGCATATATTTTCACTAGTAACTGATATTAACATTTATAGTAAGTAACAACGCTACTTGGTGGCTGTGAAATGTTGTTTTTGTTGCAACTTGCAAGTGCAGCTTCTAACCAAGCAAAGTGCAGTGGGAACAATACTCGTGGCATGTGGAACAAACAAGATAGCATAACAGTATTACATACAAGAAATATGCATTCCTTTGTTGTGACAGAGAAAACAAACTTCGTACCCATCTTTCTTAATCATGGAAGGTACTGTACTCCTATGGAGTGAATTCATCTAGAAGAAATATAGCTTCTAGCTACTCATATTTCAATTTTCCAATCGAATGACCAATGTGAAATGTGAAATTTTATAGGCCAGTTAGTTCTGCTATGAATATATGAATGCTTAGCTAACAAATCTTGGCCATGGAGTAAGGATGTCGACAATAAGTGATTGCGTGCCTAAGTTTCTTACAAACAACTTTGATGTGAATGGATTAATTGATTTAGTCGTTGTTTGGACACTGACGTTGAATGACATTACAAGTTTATCAGCAACCCAAATTGATGTGTTTCCATCAATCAGTCACCAAGAGTAGTTACAGGTCAATCTCTCTCACAGATCAATGACGCAGTATTGATCTATTCAACTTCAAAGAGCACAGCTAAGGCCCGTTCCTACTCTGCAGTTTACTCCAGCGATGTCTTTACAATCCAGTTTAATAATGATGTGAACACAAACGTGACACTGCGTAATTTCATATTATGAAGTGCTTCACAAGTAAACTTTTTTATTTTGCAGAAAGATCTTTCACTAAAGATTGGAACTTATCTACACATTACTGCTGCAGATCAGGGGGCAGCTTCCCAAAAATACTTGTCGATTGCAAGAATAGATGAGTCGTTAAGGTTTTGCTGTGCACATGGTTACCTTGAGAAAATGGTTGGATTGCCTTTGAACCATTCGCAGGTATAGTGTGTATACTGGCACAAAATCTGAATGAAAGTTTAAAATGGCAAAG